TAAATTAACTCTTTTTATTTATTTGATAAGTGTATGCTAGATAAGAAATTAATTCTTTTTATATATTTGACAGGTGTATGCTGGATCACACACATACCCCGGCGAGGGAGTTTATTTACTAAAATTCGATAATACATACAGTCTCTGGCGATCAAAAACATTGTACTACAAAGTATATTACACCCAGTAAATTTATTTTATATAGTATTGTAGAGCCATGACATAATCTATCGATATACAGGATGATTCTTAACCGACATACTTTGCGTTTAAATGATAGCTATTGAAGTCCTCTAACTACATAAAACCGTTGATCCGTCCATTAGGAATCACCCTGTATAACGTAATATATAGTTATTTATTGTTTATAAGTAAAGTTATACTTTATGTATTGCCTGAGAAGTTATTTTTGTGCAATAAGAGCTTACAAATTTTGCTTAAGTATAAAAATATACTATAAACATTACATAAGTATTTTGTTATTTCGGAATTACTTTAAAATTTGTTTTAAGTTATTTATTTATATGAATTCATAATATAATTAGAATATAATATATTTATGAGTATTTTATTAAATAGTTTTTTTTTTTAATTTTCCAAGATTGTACAAGATGGTCACATCAACAATTTTATTTCAAAGTTATATACTGAAAAAACAAAACTTAAGGTAAATTAAAATTTAGTTCTTATCAATGTAATATTTTATAATTCTGTCAAAAATTTTATATTTTGCGAAACGTTGGCAATTTTCTGGTTTTGTTATATGTAGTCGTAAGGAAAAGGAAAAATTATAATGTCTTATAGAGATAGAAATAAATTAGATAAATTGCATAACATTATATTTATATATGTAGTAAATGTTGTAAGGAAAAATTTAGAAAATTATGTAATTTTACATAGACAACACTTATAAGTTTTATTTGTCCTAAAGTACATTATACATAGTATATTTGATGGTTATCTATGGTCCTCACTTCAATGTCAGGTATTTTATAACGTAAACTATCTTGTAAAGTTTATATTAATATTTGTACAACAACCAAACTAAGCATGTTATGTCAATAACGCGCGTCATTTTCAAATCGCCTATCTATTTCTGTATATCTATGTACTTGTGCTGTAGTGGTCTCGTTATGTTTTATATAATTATGTCCGTGTAGGTTTGACATATTTTCAGACACCAACCTAAATCTGCGCCTCTCATACAGGGATATCCTTGTTTGACTATACTAATATACTGTGCCATTTTTAATTTTTTGACCGCTTATATAATTTCTTAGTAGGTACTTAATCGTAGAGTTCAAATTTCGTAATTAGTATTGAGAAGAATGTACATTTCATTGTCGTTGTCTAATGTTTATCTAGTTTTAAATGAGTTGTAGTCAGCATATGTGTGATATTTATCTAGATTCTTACAGTACCTAAAGCTTCATCTAAACTAGCTATTTAATATATATTTCTGTTTTAATTGACCGAGAATATTGTTAATTTAAAAATGTCAAGTATGTTGTTCCTATGTAACTTAAGCGAAAGGTTCGCCATGATGTAGATTCAAGGATAGGGATAATTTAAAATTTTAATGCTGCAACTCATTGGATTATCGTAATTATTTGTTTTCGTTGTCAAACATTTCATTGCACATATTTTAGGTTAGATTTTAGTCCTTGGTGTACATAATAACGAATTATTTTGGCACAAATTCGTTGCGTTTAAGTTGTAGATGTTTGCTTTAAAGAAATATCATGATTATTTTTATGAATTAAAAAAAATATATAAGACATCTGTATTGAAAGTAGTATTACAAAAATTTTATGTTTATTTAATCCCTTCGGTTCTTAAATATTTTATTTGTTAGAATGATACTGTAACACTAATTACTATGTGCACTATAATTTACATGTCCGTTATATGTACTATTTCAAGCGGATATCATATCCCGTGAGAATAAATGAGCATTTATTGATGTATGATTTTGGCTTTTATTTTTCAACCTGTAAAAAATTATACCCTTGGAGAATAGCACATTCACCATGTGCCTTCGCTGTAAAATTATGTATAGGAAAATCGAAAGGTTACAAGATATTAAATTCACTTTACAATGTGTCGACAATAAATTGAAATATAAAAAAGTGCACAATAACAATATGGCATGTTTTGGTAGAATTTGAAAGTTTGTATATGGCAATATTGATTGATAGAGCTACGATTAACTTTCCAACTTTTTTAAATTAAATTATTACTTTTTGAGAAAAAACGAAAATGTTTGCAGAGAAATTCGGGTAGTCTTTAATGATTATTCACTATCGCAATATCTGATTTGTTTGTCGTTTAATTTCTTCGTTTAACAATATTTGTGATTAATCTTTGATGTACAAAAACAGTTGGCAGTTGGCACTTGACAGTTTTTGACTGCCAGCTGACAAGTGACAATGACAGGACGGAACTTTTATTTCATATTTCATAATCTAACAATTTAATTTCTGTGTTTCATCCTGACAGACAGATGTTTGTTTTATTTTTTAGGAGTTTTAAAAAGTACATACAAAATGTTACAGCGATTAGTACATGTAACTTTAAATGTTAAAATATGTAACAGACATAATCCATTACTATTTGGAATACCCTTTCGGAGCCAAGCTAGACACAACTGTGGATTCAGGTTATATTCTAGTCACAAAGTTTCAGCCTTACGAAACTATTATGAACGGACTGCAATAAAAGGAAGCGGGTTAATGTCCTTAAAGTCCAGATTTTACAGTAGCCAGGTTGATACACAAAGAAATAATGCTCAATTTGAAAGTGTTAATTTAAAAACTTCGATAGGCAAATCAAAGAAAGTCGATTTGAGATCTAAATCTTCAGAACTGAAACGTTTACTTTCTCTGGCTGCGCCTGAAAAATGGACATTAACTGGTAAGTAAATTTTTTTTGTTTATTATTTTGTTTGGTTTTCCTGTTCTATGCAGGTCAAAACAAAATCTTGTTTACTATGTCTACTGTTTTGTTTACATTAGTAACAGTAAAATGCAAAATATAGTCCAATACAATTAGAAAAAGGTGAAAGAGTAGGTTGATGGGATATACCAGCCATTTCAAATTGAAAAGTGGAACATTCATCTAACTAATATTATAAATGCGAAAGTTTAGATGGATGGATGGATGGATGTTTGTTAGAGTTTGTAGCCTAAACGGCTGAAGAGATCTCAATTAAATTTTGTATAGATGTAGAGGATAGTCTAGAATAACACATAGGCTACTTTCTTTTGTTTTTTTTTTAATACCACGCAGATGGAGTCGCGGGCGAAAGCTATTAAAATAAAAAACTGATCAAAAGAAATATTTATTTGTTAAAAAAAAATTAATCCTCACTCATAAACCTAATCTTAAAAATGATGTAATATACATGCAATTTTTTTTTTGTAATTGCTTTTCAGTCAAATCTTGAAAAGACACAAAATGCTATTTAATATTAGTAACAGATTAAGTATTTATTACATCTAAAATTTTATATTTATTATTATCTGTTAACCCTTTTTCTTGGTAGTGTATCTGTAGAGATACATCAATTTTTTTTTCTAAACACTTTGGGTCATCAAGGTTAAGTGCTATGAATATTATTTTGATATTCCAAAAAATAAAATTCTGCCAAGTTAAGGGTTAAAAATACAGTACTGTGATAATTCATATTAACAGTAGTAAAAAAATCTACTTAAAAGTTGTTTTTATAAATCGGACATGATTATTTTTATCTTAGTGCTCCCAAAAAACATGTTTAGCCATTATCATAAGACCTAAGCTGATTTTTTAAAGACCAACTTCAATATATGTTATCAGTAATAACCTCTCATTGATTAGGCTACAGAAATACACCAAGAGTTTATCCATATTTATGTTGCAATCAAAACAAGTCAGTATTGTTTATAAATATTTTTAATTAATTACTTTATATTAAAACCTTCCTGTATTTGATAGATATTATTTACATGAATTTTTTCACTTATTCTAAAGTCTTTTTAATTTAATAGTAAAGTTTTTACATTGATTTCAAGAAATTGACAGAAAACTGCCGGCATAGGTTTAACACAAATATTTTACATTATAAAGTCAAATGTTTGGATAGATAGATGTTTGTTAGAGTTTGTAGCCTAGATGACTGAGTGAATCAAATGAGATTTAGCACAGATGTCAAGGTTAGTCTGGAAGAATACATAGGCTACCTACTTTTATAATTCTACATGAACACAGATGCAGGCAAAGATAGTTTAAAATATGTTCAATGGTACGAGTATACTACTGTTTTATATTCCTTTACTCATACAATGTACTTTTTCTTAAAATGTTTCCAATGAAATAACTTAAATGTAATGCATATTTAATATCTTACATTTAATTGGTCTGAATTATCCACCCAAAAAAATTGACTTCCATACCTTTTTTTAACGAGTTTTCGCCCGTGACTCCGTCCGCATGGAGTAAAAAAAAAAACAAAATTAAGTAGCATATTTCTTCTTCCAGAATACTCTACATATTTGCCAAATTTCATTGAAATTCATTCAACAGTTTAGACTACATACTTTAACAAACATCCATCCATACATCTAAAATTTCGCATTTATAATATTAGTAAGATTTACTCTGATTAAGTTTTGTCTCATTCTGATAAATAAAGGTCTCTACTTGAGTTATAATTAATTTCTTTTCAGGTGCTATTGGTTTCCTGATTGTGTCTTCGAGTGTGACAATAGCTGTTCCATTTTCCTTGGGCAAAGTTTTAGATATAATTTATAGCAGTACAAATGACCTTGGTGCGACCACGGAGAGACTTGATAGTTTATGTTTAATGTTATGTGGAGTATTTCTTGTTGGTGGCTTATGTAATTTTGGCAGAGTATACTTAATGTCGATATCAGGTAAGTTTGTTATTTTTTTAAACACATTTAGATGTATGTTTAAATTATTTATGCCAGCTACATTATTATAGTCCAAATTAGTTTGGAAAATGCAAATAGCACTTACAGTTCCCATAATTTGCATAATAGTTGCTTATTCTAGTGATTATATTTGGTTAGGACAAGAATAATTTGATGAAAGCCTGATTTTTAGGCCAGAGGATGACGCAGTCGCTGCGCAAGCAAGCATACGCTGCGATAATGCGTCAAGAGCCAGCCTGGTTCCATAGGACATCGACTGGGGAGCTCGTCAACCGTTTGTCGGCTGACACACAACTGGTGGGGAGGAACCTCAGTCAGAATGTCAGTGATGGTTTACGGTCATTACTTATGACGGTAGCCGGCGCGGGAATGATGGTGAGAATTTTTTATATTATAAGAGCTGTTCCTGTGCGACTACATTCGAAAATTGCAAATTCGAAATTCAAATGCACAAATATGGTAACAATAAAGGCCTTTGACATTAGCAATCGGTAACAATTATCGTTACCATGGCAACCTTGCTTCAATCTTGTCACCTGGTAGTTTTTGTCCCCTTCGCGCATGACGGTTTTTTCCAAATTGTTTACTCCCTACATTAAATAGCGTGATAATATGTAGCCTAAAGCGTGTGGCAAGTATAGGGCTTTTTATTAAAAAATAATTATTCAGTAACATATTGTGATTACTGACATCTTATTTAACTATAATTACAGTGTGTTTATGCTTTATTACATTAGTATAGATTTGTACTAGTACTTCTAATTAAATGTTTTTTTTTAGTTTTACATGTCCCCATCGTTGGCCCTTATCGGGCTATGCGTGGTGCCGCCCGTGTCGATGTTGGCTGTGATATACGGCAGGTTCGTCCGCAGCATCACAAGGCAGTTGCAGACCACTCTGGCTGACACTAGCGAGGTGAGATACTATACCACAACTGCTCTATACAGCATCGATATATCTAGACCATTACTCCTTTATTTTAAAATCTAACCTGTTAAATAAGGTGAACTATTAAATACCTAGAAAGCTTCAATTTAACTTAACTGAAACTAGTAATTTATCTGAAACTCAGATTTTAAAAATTTTAAGTATCGGTTTAACTCATTTAAAATCTTTATTTTTATATTATTTATGATTAATTGTTTCTCGCGACTTCGTCCGTGTGAAATTAGAGAAATAATAAAATGTACACCCTATGTTACTTACAGAAAAATTACCTTTGTAATGGTAAAGGTTTTTTTAATCGGCCCAAAAAAAAAGAAACGAATACATACAAAAATACTATTAGTAAAGACTACCTATAAAATTGTTGTATTTCTAGTTAACAATGGTTTGAACTTGTGTTATTAAAAATTAAAAAGCTATGAATTTAAAAAATTTGAAGGTAGATTTTAAGATTACAATTTTTTACTGAGTACACATGAACGACATATAATTTTAAATATTAAAATACACGCGAAATATAAATCTGCATTGAATGTTTCAATGTTTACACCGCCATTTACTCTTTACTACTCACTTATTTAAAAAAAAAGTACTTTGAGCAATGTTTCGAACCACCAAGATGTTTGATAAATACAATTTTTCTATGTCAAATATATATTTGACTAGGATTTGGGCAGCAACGCAAACGCCCGGTTTGCTCTTGCATGTACAGTTGGTTAGTAGTGCTCAATAACGACTGGTAATCTACTGGCATAGTGGTATGTAAATGGCACCAGGGATTCCATACAATTTATGACAGTCCGCACAGTCCAACTGTACTGGCCAATTGTTAACCGGGCAAAATAAAATACGCTGCAGTCTACTGGGTATTTATACATAAAATATAAATACCCAGTAGACTACTTAGTACCCAGTAGTTACTATATATGTATAGTAGTATGTTTTTGTAATTTTTTAATAATACTTTACAGTTGGCGGAAGAGAAGATTTCAAATATAAAAACGGTAAAAGCGTTCAGTAAGGAAGCGAAGGAATGTGAATCGTACGCACAGAGAATAGAAACCGTATTGAAATTGGCATACAAGGAATCCTTGGCTGTTGGAAGTTTCTATGGATTGGTAAGAGAATAAAAAAACTTAATTGTAGTGTAATTAAAGTGTTTGGGTAATAACGTTTTATCAAATACTTTAAGTTTTTATTCTATCATACGATATAGAAATAAAAGTCACGGTCAAACTATGACATGGTTTTTTGAACCACGATCACGTGATCAGATATCCGTACCATTTACTATTAGGTTGTTGCAGATTATTTTTTAAAATCTAGTTTGTTATGATATTTTTGTATTTAATTTGCATATATCTGTATGACTAAGAAGTGCTAAAACGTCACAAATTTAGTCACCGGAAACTAAAATATTCTTTAAAACCTCAAGAGGTTTAAATAAATATTCTATTGTGTTAATTCCCAAGGGAACTGATAATAGCTATGAATATTTCCGGAAAATAGAGATACGATTGTACGTTAATTTATATATTATAAAATTTTCCATTATATAGTTTGGTATGCGCATATTTAATTGCTAGCTTTGTTTATATTTAAGAGAATTATTGTAACTAACGTAACTCCATTGTTTCCTAATACATGGGAAAATATTTCACTGATTCTTATCATATAAAACTGGAATCTTTGTTTTTAGGATTAACGAAATAGAATATTTAATTATTATTTTACACACGTTGTTTGAAACTAAAGAAATAGCGATACGGATTATTTCTTTAATAAATAGCTATGTCCGCGATTTCACTTACGTTGTTTTACTTAGAGCGATTTTAACCACCGTTTAACCTTCATAATTAATTGGACTGCTAAATGTATTCATGTTATGCCTACAAGTATATTTTTTTTTTAGCTACTAGTTCATTTATTAACGCCTATGATTTCGTCCACGTGAGAAATACATTTTCGAAAATTGTAAAATGGGTACTCACTTATTTCTGCTGAAAAGTGTTAGTCAAATAAGTTTGTCGCAGAAAATATTTGTCAATACATAGTTTCATACCCTTTACCGTTTACAATTTAAGAGATGAATTAAAAAAAATCCTTAGTTTATTAGTAAAAGTGAAATAAACCTCTTAAAGTCCTCGCTTGCATCGAAAAGCGTTATTGTCAATTTTCAAGTACACTTAAGTAAAACTCTCAAACGGCCAAGTTGTAAATATTTTCCCTTTCAGAAATATTCTTTGTGTTTCCTAGACAGGACTTTCGGGCAACACTATAATATTGCTAGTGTTGTACTACGGCGGAGGCATGGTGGCTACGGAGCAACTGACAGTGGGTCATCTGACGTCTTTCTTGCTGTATGCGGCGTACGTCGGCATCAGTATCGGAGGACTCAGCGGCTTTTATACAGAGCTGAACAAAGGTCTGGGTGCTGCGACTCGACTGTGGGAGATTATGGATAGAAAACCTTTGATTCCGGCAACAGGTTTGTTTTTAAATGATTGGTACATTTTTAATCTTTGACATTTTACTCTATGACCTCTAATCAAAGAGCAAATGTGTGTTATAACGCAAGTTTTACTATCTTTTCTTTCGTTGATTTTAAACTGCATATCGCTGTTTTACGTTTTTTTTATATACTATGTACTTTACAAATCAAAGTAGACACAACTTAATATATTTTAACGGTATCATTGCCCCAATATGGAATTTGTTTTCCATTTACTTTTGTTTATTTAATATTTTGCTTGTAGGTGGCCTCCGACCAGAGACAAGACCGAAGGGTGAAATAGTATTAGAGAATGTGACATTCTCATACCAAGGTGCTCCGTTGATCAGGGGAATGAATTTACATTTAACTCCGGGCAAATCAATCGCGCTGGTTGGTCGGTCTGGTTGCGGCAAGAGTACCATAGCCTCGCTGATTTTGAGGTTATACGACCCTGAGGAAGGTCGGATATTGTTGGACGGTGTGGATATAAGACATTTGGATCCTGTCTGGTTGAGAAGTCATATTGGTTTCGTGAGTCAGGTAAGTCGACCTGGAACCTATAAATGAAGTAATTTTAAGTTTCTTGTTGCCTATATATCGTTTTATTTCTTACATTACAGGAACCAGTTCTTTTTAGTGGGTCAATAAAAGATAATATATTGTATGGCTCGCTGGATGACCGTGAGGAAATGATCGAGATTAACGTAAGAATTTTTATAATAACTGCGTATTATAAAAATATTTATTACCAACTTTAAGGCGTTTTAATGAGATACACAATATTACACTAACATTTTCAGAGTTAACGAGTAGGTATTATTTATCTATATGCAATTTTAATCTTTATTCCCTAACAATTAGGTATAAAATCGTAGACCGTGCGCAGGTGAATTGTCTTGCAATTGTCAACTTTGTTACGTTATCATAAGGTATAACTGTTAAAGTACCGTACGCGGATGACTTGTCAAGCAATTACCAACTTTGTTACCTTACGGTAAGGTAGCATTAGTGATGTACCGTGCGCGGATAAATTGTCCTGCGATTATGAACTTTATCACCTTATGTTAAGGTGTGCAATGTGCAGGGTAAGATGGAGCCGGCGTGGCTGGTGGCGGCGCGCACGGCACAGCTGCAGGACTTGGGCGCGTCGCGCGCGGGCTGGCGGCGCGAGGTGGGCGCGGGCGGCTCGCACCTCAGCGGCGGACAGAAGCAGCGCGTCGCCATCGCGCGCGCCGTCGTCAAGGTAACCACGTACAGGGTGTGCGGGATTCGACATTATATAGCATGTTCAGAAATAACAGCATTTGGAATATTTTTCAGTTAAGATAGTATGGTTTAAGAATCTTTATTTACCTTAATAATTAAATAGTATGTGATATAGAAATAAAGATGAAATATAGGATCTCAATAATAATAATTACAATAAATTAATAGAGTAAGTTTGCACCAAGCTAGTACTTTAGTCGAATACCGAGTAATTAAGCAGCTACAATTTTCTCTACTGCCCTAAAAGTCTTTAGCAATCAACGTCAACTTTTACTAATAAATTCGTATAAAATGAATCGCCTCGACTAAATTATGCTATCTATGCGATTCAATTGTTGTTCAGACACATTTAGTTACTATTTACTCGGTGCTCAACTAAATTACTAGCCTAGTGCGACCATCTATTAAAGAAATCCTAATCCTAGCTGTAGATTTATCCGCTGATGAAAAACTAAATTCCTTTTCAGAATCCAAAAATCTTAATACTCGACGAAGCTACTTCAGCTTTGGACGCTTATTCTGAATATCTAGTTGACAAAGCTTTAAAGGATATCAGCAGAGACCGCACCGTGCTCACTATAGCACACAGACTCAGCACCATACAGTCCGCAGACGAGGTGGCGGTCGTCGACAACGGATGTATCGTAGAACAAGGCACATATACCGACCTCATGTCTAAAGATAATGGAGTCTTCAAAGAACTCATCACACATCAAACGTTCGCCTCAAAGTCCAGAGAGAAAAGCGAAATACAACGACAATGACAAAGTCAAATGAAGGTCATGACTCATGACATTGTTATTTGTTAGAAAATTTTATTATTTATTTTTTATGTTGGGATATTTAATATTAAAAAACGAATAAATTATAAATTACAGGATTTAAAAATATAAGAAATTTATAGCAAGGTTAATGAAATAATATATACTCAATCTTTCAAGATTTATTGTTTAAAATGTAATGAAAAATTGCAAACGTACAAAGGTAATCAGTATATTTATGGTCCAAAATGAAATACTCTGAATATGTACAATATATATTAAATAATTGTTCCATTAAACGTTCATATGCTGTACAAATCCACGCTACACTTGTATCACAAATTGTGCAAATTATGATAATTCAAGCGACTTCATATCAATTGTAAGATAGAATATTTTTGTAAAGATGTAAAAAATATCTGGTGCAAAATAATAAATTATCACAATTTTTTTTTCTTACGCAAAGCACAAAGTGAGCGAGATGAACATATACTTTATCGCCTGTGTGCAACAGGGATAAAACGTATCTCTTTCGCGCCATTTTGAAGCGCTGACAGTTTGTCAAATCTAGTCTACGGCCGGTATTGCATCGATTTTTTTTATTACTTTTTTTTGTAAATTAAAGTACTAAGCTGCAATGTGCAATATTGGTGACGGATATTTGACAATTCTAACCCCACTAAAATTTAATACGTAGGTATTTATATTTTTACCTTAAACTATGAATTTTCATACTGAAACCTTCTGTAATTTTTTTTGACTATTTTACAGATTATAATTATTCGGTTTTGGTGTCATATTTAAATGCTGAGTCCTTTTGGGTAACATAAAATGCAACTTTTTATACTGAGACTGTTTTAAATTACCAGATATTATTGAATTTTTGAGAGGCAGTGTCAGTTCGAAATGATTAAACAAAGAGGCAATTAAGAAAGTAGGCGTTCTTCAAAGTCGAATCTTTTTAAAGTTCAAAGTCGAAAACTATAGTTACCCAACTCGACTGTTCCTATTGAAGGCAATATATTATTATATTTGTTGTGAACTAGATGTACATTTTCTTTAATTTAAATATTGCAATTGTGATTGCAGTAAAATTATTATGTATGTATTTTAAATCGTATGTTTGACGGGTATTGGCTTACGTTGTTATAGTGAAATGGAATAAAATACTTGTTGTTATTTTTACATTTTTTTTATTCTTTAACATATATGTATGTCAGGAATTAAAAGAAAAAGGCGGACTACAATACTTGTTTACCCCTTTTGGTTAGGAGTGAATATTTTTTGTGTTAGTAAAAGAGCTCTTTATGCAGCTAACTGATATCTTATCTGTATTTCTTATCAAATAATGAAACAAAGTTAAGGCGATGTAATGGTTTTCTTTGAAATGGTGTTGATAAGATGTAACTAAATTTATCACCCCCACCTATTTTAAGCAGGTTTGACGTATTTCTATTAAGCGTGGTCTTGACTCGATTTTGTTATTAATAAGCGACGTATAATTAAAAACGTATAAAGAAAAAAATATTTCGATGCTAAGAGCACGTTTCTCTTAGTTCAGTGTAATCTAACAGATTTTTTTTATAACGGAAGGTGGTAAACGAGAAGGCCGCCTGAATAGACATCCGCAATTGCAAATGCATTGCCTAGCCTTAATTGACAAAAGAGGAATCGCACATAAACAGGATATTTCCCCTTCCTGTGCGTCTCCTCCGGTGTCAAATCCACTTTTCCTTCCCCTCAGTTCCTCTTAAGAAAAGGGCGGAAAGGAAAAGGGACCAAACTTTTTCTGTACTTCAATTTCTTAAAAGACGAGTTGTCACGCCACTGGATATATATTTCGTAAATAAGTTATTATGAATTGAATAACAAGCTATATTTATATTTTTTAAATAAAAAATTAAACAAGATTATGATAGGATTTTTAATAAGGATAGGAAATAGGTCCGGTTAGTTACTGATTACTTATGATTCTATATAAAAAAGATTGTTATCTTTATGAATTACCGAGTGTACCTTGCCCTATGACGGTTTATGTGGAGCGCGCCAAAACGCAACGCAAGTCGTTTGTTTGTTATTTGCGCGCCGTTCTTCTACTGATACGTTCTTGTAACATGTCCCTCAGTAAAATCTTCGATTCTTTCGCGAAACAGTTTTTAAAAATCACCCCATATAAAAGCTTCACAAAACAAACAATATGGCGGTCGCTTCCAAATTCCCGGGCTTTTTCCCGCCCTTTCGGAACGCAAACTGCACTAGATTTAGATAATAAAATTTTAAATTCGCCGTGGGGTGAAATTAAAGTTGGGAACGAAACTTTAACTGAATATGTGTTTAGTGATTACGAGTTATGGGACGACAAGCCATCAGTGGTAAGTCTATTTTTTTTTTCGTTATTTTTCATTATTTTTAAAGTTTTTTTGATTGGTATGAATTTTTAATTTTTCCTTTACCATAATTTTAAAAACATGCCATTACAATTATTATTAGAAATCATCAATCTAAAGAATTTGTTGACGATATCCCAAAAAAAAATCTAAAACATGATTTACTTGCCTGAAAACCTTTTTTTTAAATTACAACATTAAAAAATTTGAAAACCTCCTCCAATAACGCTTATTATAACTGTAAAAATGTAGTTGTCTACAGATTTTTTACTATATATATTTTAGAGCACAACATAAAGTAACCTTTGATTCGGTAAAAGAGTAAACAGCGATAATAAAAAAAAGTCGTGCGGTACAAAGTTCGCGGCAATCTATATTTGCCTGAACGCGGACGCGGACTGAGATGTTAATATAAATAGTCACTGTCCGAAGGTTAAGGTTACAGAGAGTCACTTGCCAAGTCAATTTTACCATGTAAACAATAATTTTATATGGAAATAATACTTATTAATTAATTACAGGTAATATTTAATATAACGATTTAGTTCCATAACCTTAATTAAGACCGGATTTGTGCAAGGTCCATAACAAAATATGTTACATATGATAGACTATAATTGCAGCAATTTTTATATCATAATTATAATATTACTCTCAAGGTTTCTATAAGGTCATGTTAGAATAAGTTTTTAAATAATAGCTTCACATTCTAACACATTCAACTATTGTTGACAAAAAATTGCATTATTTACATCAGTGCTTAAACATTTGTTATCTCATTAACTTGTCAAATATTGAAAGAGATGGCAATACTCACGATTTTAGTGTATTTGTTTACTATCTAGACATGCGGCGTTTCTGGTCGCTCATACCCATACGGGATGCTGAGGATGATGGTGGAGAAATGCGCGATGGCTCTACTAAGCCACATGAAGCTGTCTCCCGGCGAAAGAATTGGTTTAATACTACCTAATATCCCGGAATTCGCTGCAATTATACATGGCGCTATTCGCGCTGGATTGGTTGTTACATTTGCCAACCCGTTATATACTGCTGGTAAGTATATGAAAAGTTAATTGTTAAGAATAAGAATATCTTTGTTGCACACTAACTAAAACTACATCAGTGTTGCTTCTAAACTAGGATTCCTGTTTTTAAGAAGCCAAGGTCTTCTCTTAAAAAATGATACATTCATGTGTAGTGTGAAAAAAAATAGTTATTTAGGAAATTAAAAAATAAAAAAAATCTTGCAAATATTTTTCTTTTCCTCTGAATTTTAAATTATTATCTATTTATCTCACATATAGTGTCAATAGTAGCGAAGCATTTTCCATTCCTTCAAAGAAGGAACCAAAAATACTAATAAAAAACCGCTAAATGCTAAACAAATATTGGTTCCAATACCTTCAAATCAAGCCATTTATGATATCAATGAACTCTTCACGATTTACTCTGCATTTACATTTCACAATGTCACGTGCGCTGCTATAGTAAACATTACTTCATTTATCATCGTACTTTAACCTCCATCTGGTTAATTAATACAGCTGTATCTAATAGGTAATAGGTTTCCTTATCAATTGCTAGTTGAACGTATAACCTATTAGTTTTAATTTAACCGTGTTTGTTGGTAATTATTTCGTACGATTATATACGTTATATCAAACGTAGGCTGCGGCCACGAAAATTGCGACAAGTCAGCGCGACTCACATAGACATTTTCACCTGATGTTTTGAATGGCTATGTAAGCTGATATTTTTGCCCACTGGGCTCTGCTCCGCCGCCCCGCTCGACGCAGGTTTTGTGGCCGTGGTCTTAGACTAGAATAGTATGTAGCTGGCTGATTTATTCATTGATGATTTTATAATAAAAAAAAAAATGCATCGAAGTGGCCCAAAGAAGTTCTATAGTTCGTTTAAAAAAAAGGAAGTACGCACTGGTTTAGTGAATTCCTATTCAAGCTTGAAGGTTAATTTGTAATTCTGTGTTCACAGAGGAGGTTCGCAGACAGTTCGTAGATTGTGGTGTAAAGGCTATAGGTACTATAGAGATGTTCATGCCACTCGCGTTGGAAGTCAGCAAATCTCTTAAGGACTACAAGGGAACTATTTGGGTGGGAGGTGAAGATGATAAAGTTAAAGGTGAATTTAACAAGAATGTCTATAATATTATTTTTGCTTCATTGCCCTTTTATTAAAGTTCCTAAAAGAGAATCTTATGGTAACCGTTTAGTTTTTATTTGATTTATGTTGCGGTAAAAATGTTGATAGCAATGAATAACAAATTAGTTATTTACAATAATCGCATATACTTTTCGGATACTTCCGCGATCTAGAGAGACCAATAATCAAGAAATTCGAAGACAGACCAACGTTCTTTTCTTCGTAAACAAATTTTTATATTAACATTTGCAGGTATATTTGGTCTGCGTTCACTTTTAATGGCGGACCACAGCGCGGAGTTGCCGCAGTTGAACTGCGACGACGTCTGCCTCATCCCGTACTCCAGCGGGACCACGGGAATGCCCAAAGGTGTCATGCTGACACACGCCAACCTCGTCTCCAACTTGAAGCAAGCTCAATGCCCCAAGGTCATGAAATATCAAGGAGAAAAAGGTTGGAATCTTTCTTAATGTTATTTGTATTATGCTTTTTTTACATTACCTTATGTATCAGAGGTATTAGCTTCGTTCGTAAGTTTTTTGTTCTTCGTGAATCTTACTTATGTTACTATCATACCAATATTACAAATGCGAAAGGATGGATGGATGTTTGTTAGAGTTTGTAGCCTAAACGGCTGATCGGATCTCGAATAAATTTGGCATATACGCAAAGGATAGTCTGGAATGGGCACATAGGCTGCGCACTTTTTTTTTTAATTTCACGCGGACGAAGTCGCAGGCGAAAGCTAGTAAAAAATAAATACCCTATGTTCTCTATGAGATCTATGGAAACTGACGGTAAATATGGTTATTGTTTCAGGACACGGCGACGTAATCCTTACGGTACCTCCGTTCTTCCATATCTACGGATTTAATGCAGTGCTCAACTACAACCTCAGTCTAGGATACCACATCGTCTCCATGCCTAAGTAAGTTCAATAATTAAATCACATTAATATGTATTAACACATACACATTAATGTATAAACAACAGGTATTTGACAGATTGAAGGCAGTACTTATGAAGCAAGTTGTTTAAAAGTCGTTTAAGTATCGGCCGTTTAAGTATAGTTGCTTACTAACTTAAAAGTAGTCTTTTGAATGTGTGAAAATGGATTATACAAGTATAGTCTTGTTTACGATTGTACATTTTTAACGATAAAATAATAAAGCTTTAAGAAATCATACTAATATTATAAATGTGAAAGTTTGGATGGATGGATAGATGGATGTTTGTTAGAGTTTGTAGCCTAAACGACAGACGGATCTGGATGAAATTTAGAATAGATGTAGAGGATACTCTGGAAGAACACATAGACTACTCTTTTTTAATTCTGCGCGGACGGAGTCGCGGGCGAAAACCAGTTTAATATAAAATGTTCTATCTCTTTCAGATTTACACCAGAAGATTACATAAAATGTCTAGTAGAATACAAACCAACTACGCTATTCGTGGTGCCGTCGCTGCTGGCGTTCTTGGCCACGCACCCCCTCGTGAAGAAGGAGCACCTGCAGTCGCTGCAGACCATCATGGTGGGCGCGGCCCCCACCACCGACAGCATGCTCGAGAAGTTCCTGCTCAAGTGTGAGAGGACTAAAGACGAAATTAAATTGTTACAAGGTATGCACATGTATTACATAATATTTTATTTCTTTTATATCTTACTAATATTATAAATATGAAAGTTCAAATGGATGAATGGATGTTTGTTACAGTTTGTAGCCTAAACGGCTGAATGGATCTCGTTGATATTTGGCATAGACGTGGAAAAACACAAAGGCTACTCAATTTTTTTTGTGCCACGCGGACGGAGTCGCTGGCGAAAGCTAGTATATTATAGATGTTATTTTTAATATAGAGAAACGCAATGGAAGATCTTTTTTTTTCTTTAATGAGTAATGTCAAACTCCTTAATACTTTGTAATTCTCTTACTCCAGTGATATCTTGTTTTCAACACAATAAAATACTCTCTTTAGAGTTACTATAACTCTAATTAACGTAAAAAAATATATATCTTTAAAATCAACTACCAGTGCCGTATGACGCGGTGGGGGGAGGGGGGCAGGGAACCTGACAAAAAGTGAAGCCACAGAACTGCAAATTGACTCCCTAATAATAGTAAAAAAGAGAGCGCCTTAGAATGCTCACCCAGGGCATTAGTAAACCTAGAAACGGCGTTGGTAGGAACCCACATAGCATTGGCGTCGGTAGCCAATGATTTAACTAGAAGGGACTATTCGGCCTTATTCGTAATAGTTTTTATATCTATTCGACATTTCTGGAGTTTGTAGTCTCACGCCTGTGTCTTACAGCACCATGTTTGTGCACAGGTTACGGTATGACAGAGAGCTCGCCTGTGACGTTGATGACTCCATACATATATCCATACAACAAGGTGGGCTCCGTGGGACAGTTAATACCGAGCACGCAGGCCAGGATTGTCTCACTGAGTACTGGGGAGAACTTAGACGCACATAAGTCTGGGGAACTGTACCTACGAGGGCCCCAAGTAAGTTATATTTATGTTATCATAATTTTTTACCAACTAAGCATAACACACGTAACACAGAAAAACTCTCCACCTTCCACAATCCCTTGCTAAGTTTATGTGCTTGAAGCTTCCTTTTAGGTATTTTGGTCGTAAATTACATAAAGTTACGTCCAATTTTTTTTTATTTCAATATTTTTGATATATCATTATCTTTACTTTTGTATCTAAATACTACCTTTAGCATATCCTTTGTAGCCATCCACATTCAATTTTAATAGAACTCTAATATTATAAGTGGAAAAATTTGTATTTTTGTATGTATTGAAATAACTCAAAAACTATTTCGCTGATTTAAAAGAAAATTTACACTATAAAAAACCTACGTTATCAGTGAGTAACATATGCTATGATTTTAATAAATTTTTAATTTCTCCCGGGAGAAGTTGCGAGAAACAACTAGTAATTAAGAAAACGGTATACAACAGGTAATGAAGGGTTACTGGAACAACGAGGCAGCGACGCGGGAGACGGTGGACGGCGCGGGCTGGCTGCACACCGGCGACGTCGCCTACTACGACGACGACCACTACTTCTACATCGTCGACCGCACTAAGGAACTCATCAAAGTTAAAGGCAACCAGGTATATATTATTAGTATAAAATTTAATTGTCTGGTAACTATCCAACGTGTAAAATATGTGATGAAATTATGGGATTTTGTTCTCTTATCTAAGAGTGCCGTCATTTTGAAGCTATCTAAGTCTGTATCAAGATGTGTAAGGGCTACGAAAGAATCATTGAAGTCATCATTTTTCGATTAACGACTTTGAATTAATATTTCGGAAAATTTCAATATTTGTGGTGGGAGGGGGTAGTCTAAGATCTTACATTTTATTTGAATCTTAACCTTACTCAAATGCTGAAAATTACGTGATGTACGGGACGACCTTTCAGTAGAACCGGAATCTAAATTAGAAATTTGAATAAATAATTATATTCACAGGTATCTCCTACAGAAATAGAGAGCGTGATAATGGAACAACCTGAAGTAGCTGATGTGGCTGTGGTCGGTATACCTGACGCACTCGCGGGGGAACTGCCCAAAGCATTCGTAGTACTCAAAGCGAACCACAAACTTACAGACAAACAAGTATACGATTTTGTGGCACAAAAACTAACGAAATACAAACATCTTGAAGGCGGGGTAGTTTTTCTGCAGTCCATACCAAGAAATGCAGCGGGGAAAATACTGAGAAATGAACTTAAAGTTCTAGGCACAAAGAAATAGGTATAATTAGATTTTTAATACTAGATATCTTGTTAGCAGTTCAGTGAATGTGTATTTAAGTAGAAAGTTATAGGTTATGTGTATAAATAATAAGATTAATGTAGAATTTGTAATTATTTATTTATATCAAACTTAGCTATTATATTTAAACATCAACTTGTATAAAATTATTTCCTAAACAAACAATATCCGATTTTATATTTCCTATTAAAGATTATGGTCTTAGCTTAAAGTACTTAGCTAGTTCAAAGTTTTAAAAATGTGGTATGGTTGATCTCTACAAATCATATTTCCTTAAAAAGGAACATTTTCGATGTTACCTTAAACATTTCCTTAGAAAAATAAGAAATACCTATATAATTGTTGACTTATTTTAAAATCCTATATTTATCGAGAAAATGTGACCATTGTGTAAATAAATATAATTAGTATGTATTTTTATTTACCTTTTAATACCACTTATATATTTTGTTTTAATGGGCAACAAAAATATTTTTGATTCCTTCATTCCTAAATAAATGAAGATTTTATGTAATATCTGTGCAAATGCAAGGCATTGCAGAAGAAAAGAAATTGCTGCCCTGTATTTATTCAATTAAAAATATATTTATTATATATAACTAATTAAAAAGAATATCAAATAGTAATTCTCAACACTATTTCGGATGCTAAAATTGTCCAAAAATACCTTGTTACTTAGAAACCCAGAATTACACAATTACTTGTTTTGATAATAGTTAATCTGAATCTAGGTAACATTGTAATAAGACCTAGGCAGCTTAAATCCATACCTTTGAGCTATGTTCTAGGTACGGATTTTAGTCTAAGCCCCTTAGCACATTCTAACATTAAATCCAGTGACATAAGTCATTACTGAGTCTATTAACCACCTAATCCTATTAACCTTGGCATCACATACAATCAGTAGTAATTAAATAAAACTAATAAAGATTTATATCTAGAATTATGGGCTAGCTTAGCTTTATATTAAGTCCTGAGTTTGATTACATATGTGTAAAATTGAACATATTTTAAAGTAGGAATTAAACAATAAATTCAAAGGAAAATATCATTCTGTGAAAGAAATGCCCACTCTTTTTTCATAAATTAATAATTTGCCTTGATAACTACATATAAGGAGTATGTAGTTTAAATGATTTTAACACATTTAATACCATTATGATCTTCGCATACTAAAGAGATGGCATTGAATGTGTTTTGTTTGTTTTTTATTTCTATAAAATATATAAATTAAACACAAATCTATTAGGTATAATAATCACTATGTTACTTTCCTCAATGATATCTTGTATTATAATTTGACAATAATTACAATATTTTACTACATTTAATACTTTATTCAAGTCTTTATGCTTATATTAAGTGAGCCACATTTGATAAAATTTTGTTCAAAATAAGCCACAGTTATTGACAATAACACTTTTGTATCACATGAATCATTGTGGTTGTTCTGTTTTTTCTGGAGTTTCAGTTTCTTCTAATTTCTGTTCAGTCTTTTCTTCAACAGCGGCAGTTTCTTTAATATCTTCTGACTTGGTAAATGCCTCTGAAGGTATTTGTTGTATCTCTGAGTTAACATCGCTGATAGAATAATTATCTGTTTGAATTGATGCTTTTATTGGATTTTCCACAGCAGGACTAGGTAATGGTGTTTCATCAATCTTCTCTTCATCCTCTTTAGTAATTTCTTTAGCACCATCTACAGTAATTGCACCAACTTGAACATCTGTTTGAGATTCTGGGTCAGTTCTTGGAGAGTTGCTATTACCATCAGTGTTGTCGCTAGATGAAGAACTCTCTTCACTTGATGTTGACACTTCAGAAATCATTTTTGGTTCTGCGACATCCTCTTTACTATTTGAACTTGAACAACTATCCTCGCTAATTGCCAGTGGAGGATCTACACTAGGTTTAGAATCTTCAATCTCTCTCTCATTTTTACTTTCTTCTTTAGCAACTTCAGCTGTCTCATCATATTGAGCTTTAAGTTTTTGCTCTGTCATTTCTGCATCATCTATTTTAATTTCCGGTACAATTAATACATTTGTTACATCATCTGATTTCATTTCATCATCCTCTTTCACTTTTGATGATGGAAGAGATGAATCCCTTTTCAATTCATCTATTGGTTCCTCGGGTGATTCCAAAATTGGTTCAGACAAGGTATCATCAATCTTATCTTCTGGTTCTTGAGGAGGTGTGTTACTTAATACCGAGTTCTCTATCTCAGCTGATTCTTGTATATTGCTTACCTTGTCTTGAGTATCCATTTGAGTTTCCTGCTTTGTATGAACCTTCTCTTCAGTGTTATCGACAGAGATATGTGTATCTGAAGAACTTGGTTGGGGGTCAGTGTTGTTTTGCTCCGAATTTTCCTTCCACGATACATCTTCCATTTCGACATCTACGTTGTACTCAGAGTTGTTGTCCGAGCCGTTGACAATAGGTTCCATTGGTTCACCATTCTCCAACTCAATATGTCGCTGCATGCCGGGCTCTCGTGTACTTACAACTAAGATATTTTTCTCAATAGCTCTCATAAATTTGTCCACGCGATTATACTGCTTACGAGGGAATGCTAGTAGCTCACAAATTCGTTGAATAGTAAACGGTGCTGAAGTAAAACTGTCGAGTCTTTCCAATAAACTATTTTTCATAACATCGTAATTAAACGGATCCACATTGGGGTACGGCGGTATTTCGATACCTGGGGTTGTTTCATAAAAATCAGTTATAACGTTTAACAACTTCTCTTTGAATAAACTTTTCACAAGAGACCATTGATACACAGGATCACCGGTACGTGCTACATACGCCAAGTAATCGTTTAGCTCCTGAGGTATGGTTTTAGGCTTGCGTTTTGAAAATTCCTCTAGTAAATGAAACACTTCTTCAGCATTTTCCATTTTGTGATTTGGCCAAATCAAATTAACTAATGTTCAATAATGTACGCAAATGAAATAAACATACAGAAGAATTGTAAAGTGACAAAATCAAATTGATTGAAACCTACAGCCCACAGATAACTGCAAAATGAAAGAAAAGAAAAATGAAACGTTTGTAAACCGAAGTTGATTTCGCAGGTTATATTGTCTATGACGGGAAAATAAGGGTAATTTTAACACAGGTAACCTTTTTTTAAAAATGTCTTCCCTATCCATGTTCTTATAGATATAGGTAAAAATAATTTTCGTCTTACCATTAGGTCACATTACGTTTTCATGGTATTATTTGTGTTCTTTTCTAACCTTTTAGCTAAATCCAATTTTGTATTTGCTAAGGATTCGTAAGTCATAGACATTTTCCGCAATTTCTTTCACTGACATAACATCTGACATTTAAGAACTGCAAAATAAGTGAGTAAAATTGTGAGATTCAAGTTCTGAATTTTTATTTTAAGGTGGTTAACTCAATTGCATTGGGTCTCCTAAATAAGATTACAAAATGAATACACTAATGAGAAGGGGCTTCCAGCCATTGTTTAATAGTACAATTCGAGCTTCATGTCGTACATTTGCCGATGTTAAAATAAACGAGAAAATAGACAAAATAGTAAAGGATAATAAGGTCGTAGTGTTTATGAAAGGTGTACCAGATGCACCGCGATGTGGATTTAGCAACGCTGTTGTTCAAATTATGAGGATGCATGCAGTTCCTTACGTCAGTCATGATGTCCTCTCAGACGAAAATCTACGACAAGGTAACTTTATACTGTCTTAAAAAACCCTAACAATACGTTACAATTTTAACTGTTAAAAATGTTAATGAATTCAATGTGTTAACTTTCTTAGGCTCTTAAAACTTCCTGACATTTTGATAAACTGTTTTATTCAATTTTAATTGTAAAAGCGTACTATTTTCTTAAAATAACAATAACTTCAACATTACTAACCAGTATAAAGCAGTATTTGCACACTGCTTGATTTACAATTTATGCAGGAGAGTAGATTGTTTAAACTTCTTCAAACATTGCAATAGTAAGTACCCATAAACATGTAAAAGTGGCACAATGTTATAAAGACCTTTCTAGCGTACATAATTTTTAATAATTTTTAAACTAATTATTACAGGTATTAAGGAATATTCCAATTGGCCAACAATACCACAGGTGTTTATTAATGGAGAGTTTGTTGGAGGCTGCGATATAATGCTTCAAATGCACCAGTCGGGTGAATTAGTGGAGGAACTGAAAAAAATTGGTATACAGAGTGCTCTATTGACAGCTGAACAATCCAAGAAAGAAGATAAAAAATAGATATTGAGAAGGTAGATCTTAAAAGTCGATCAAATTACATATAATAGTATTTATTGCATTCATCTGTTGTTATATGTTTTATTTATTATGTTATAGATATATGTTATCAAAAGCACAAAAAACTGGGTATTACTTTGAATAAAATCATGCTATAGGCCTTAGCGCTCAGGTCTAAATGACTTTAATATTCTTGTGAAGCTATTTTAAAGTTAATTTAGTACACCTAAGTTGCAATTATTAAAAGCTACGTTTAAATTTTCTTTGTCAGACACAGTCTGCTATGATGTGAGAAATACTGTATGTCTTCACTAAAATTGTATCACTGTTAACATATAAAATATTGATATTATTTTCATTTTATAGAGTTTCTAAGTCAGGGAAATTCTAAAAGAGTTTATTGTCCACTCATGATGAATTAGATTTTATCATATCTATCAGTACTTTAGGTATTTGTATGGAAAATAATTTAAAACTTAAAATTGTTAATATTTTATTGATGTCATAATGTAGATCCTCATTTTATTAATGTAATGTTTTTTGCTGAATGATTTTTAACATACTTTCATAACCTATGACCTCTTTATCAATTGTATGGACGGTTTGAACCAAATAAAATGTTTGATTAGGTTTATTATTGTTCTAGATAGTATAGTTTAGGATATAATTGTGCATTTTTTTGGTAATTGGCTATCTTAGTTATATAGAAGTTTGTAAAATGAAATAAAACAATTTAATGTTTAAGAGCTCTTTATTAAATTAGCTGTACATTCGAGTTAGTATACTTTTTGGGCACATAATTCATTCTTAATCTACATCCACTGTTTCCTCATATAAATTATAGGTTGGATTAACAACACAGTCAAAAAATATTAAAAGACAAAAATATGGCAGATCATTTATTTAGAGTACTAAATACCCTCACAAACGATGTTTTTATAAAACTGATATTCGGATGATAAATAGATGCAGGCAAGGTATGGCATTCTATGATATAAATAATTTGTATAACACTTCCCTGCAACATTTATAGATTTTGGCGACTTAAAAAACGATCAGGATCTGCTACCGCGATAATTACTAATGGCAGTAATTAAAATTTGAACTTGTATAAATAATGTATGCTTAAAAATTAAAAAAATAATATATATTTAACAAAAACATCCTCACATTTAGAATGAGTCTTATTTTGGTGTGACACATTAGTGAAGCCTAACATTAGCACCGTGTTTAACTTACAAATTAATGTTTTGTGACATTTCCTGACAATTTCGTACAAAAGATAAAAATACCTAAATCTAATTATATAAATAGTGTGTTGTAGACATATATGATATTCTCTGATTTGAGCCAAAAGATTACACAAAGAATGAGATATTTTCTTGGTAAGAGTTAATGACATTTTTTGGTTTTAACATTGCACGTATTTGATACAGAACTGATTTTTTTAAAAGACTAATATCACAAAAATTGTTTGCACAATGTTGGCAATGGATTAGGGCGATATTTATGAGATGTTTGCCAACATGAGAAATAATTTTTGTGAGTCGCTACAGCGCGGAGCCGCGCGGGCGGTGTGCGGCTGCAGCTCCCGGCTACAGGTGACGTCCGATGTGACCTGGATCTAAATCAATACAAATTAAACACATGTCAACTTCCTAGAGATAAATGTCTGAATACTGAAAATATACTTAAATATGTAACAGCATCTTAAAAAATAAGGCCATTAAATTAAACGCCAGTTATTTCAAAAGAGAATTCATTTCACTGTAGCATTTTTGGACAGTCGGCTGATACGATACGACCTTTATTATGAGTATACTAATTAAACGGCTGAACGGATCTTGATGAAATTTGGCATAGATGTAGAGTCTGGAAGAACACATAGGCTACTTACTTTTGATGTTTTTTAATTTGTCGCAGGTGAAAGTAACATACTTAAGCAAGATTGACATGATCAAGAAGGGAGTGATGACAGATGACGTATGATAGGTATGTGGAGGATAAAAACTGTTGTGCCCATACGAGAGTAGGATAAGGAGGGAGATTATGCAGGTACATGAAATGTTGATTTATGAAAGATGTGTGTGTGTGTGTGTGTATGCGTACCTAGAGGTCGGTCTCTCCGTAGAGCGCGGTGGAGAAGGCCATGTAGTCGAGCGCGCCGGGCGGGGCGCCGGACGCGCGGTACGCCGGCATGCGCGCCACGCAGTACTCCGCCTGGTCCGGCGGCAGCTCGCGCCGCAGCTCCTCCGCCGTTATGTACGGCTGTCACACACAACAATCACTCACCCATACTGGGGTAGGCAGAGATCATGGATCTCCATTTGACGCACTCCCGACAATTTTGTCGGGTATACAAATAGAATATGAGTAAAAAAACTATGCCTTTTGGTCTTTTTAATTAGAATTAAGAATATATCAATGAAATTTAACAAAAAAGTGGTCAATAATGAGGTATGGTATTTCTGGTATTTCATTTAAATTGGCACGTCTGTTTATACAGTGCCCTTGTTTTCCACATGCCAAGTGAAGTGTCGGGTAGTGTTACCTTGTCGCCGGCGAGGATCCTGAAGCTGTCGATGACCTGCTCCGCGGTGTCGGTGTCGGTCGACTCCCGCGTCATGAAGTCCAGGAACGCGTCGAATGACACGTAGCCTGCAACAAAATATTACAATACTCAAGATAATTTAAGGATAAACTTATATTTATGTAAATAATAACAAATACTGTGCCAACATTAATTATTTAGTATTTCTTCTACATGGACTAATTTTAATTGAATTGCCTAAATATAAATTGCAGATTTTAAGACAACAAGAGCAATGTATATAAGTTGTAATAGAGGAAAAGAATAGTATGTATGTATGTATGTATGTGATGTGTACCTGTGTTGTTGGGGTCGACGACGGCGAGGATGCGCTGGAAGTCGAGCTCGCCCTGCCGGTCCTTGCCGATGCTGTAGCCCAGCGACACCAGGCACGACTTCAGCTCCTCGGGCGCCAGCCGTCCTGAACAACAATATTTACAGTAAAACTATTTCTAATGGATAATAAATCCGGCTCGAAAGACCGAAAAAACTTTACTTTGTGTTAAACAAGCGAGGTAATAAAATGGACTTAACAATTGCTTTTTAGTAGTAAAGAAAACGGAATAATACGAAAAGAACCCCGATATAAAGAAATTAATGTATTCAAATACATGAAGGGTTACGTGAAATACATTTTTATGATAAATTGCTCGTTTTTGTTAACATACCAGTGCGGTTCTTGTCGAAGTGGTTGAAGGACGCGCGGAACTCGTTGAGCTGCTCGTGCGTGATGCCCTTGGAGTCGCGCGTCAGGATCTGGTTCTCCACCTCGTTGATGGTGCGGTTGATGGACGTCAGCAGCTGTTCCCAGCCCACGCGCAGCGTCTCCATCGTGTACTGAGAATACCTGCAACACGGGAATAACACACTCATTAGACTCCAAATATACTAATAGATTAACAAGATATAACAAAGATCACCAAAGTTTTCCCGTAAGACTTTATTGATAGTTCTTGACTACCTATATGTAACTCCTCTTTCGTTACTTATCTGTATATATGACTATCAGTTCCCCTGTGGCTTCATCTGCATATAGCCATAGCAATCTTGCTTCTGTGCTCCTATTGGTTTGTAGTTTTTGTCCCTTTCCCCAAAAAGTTTTTTAATTATTTACCCTTAAGTTTAATAGCGTGAAAATATATGGCCTAAACCGTGGTGTAAGTGTAGGGCTTTTTATTAAAGAAGGAATTATTGAAAAATGTGCTGTGATTTCTGATATTCTAAGTCACGAAGTAATGTGTGTTTACGCTTTACGATATTAGTACATACCGTACATAGTACAAATGTAGTAAATGTACCTGTTCTCGAAGATCATGCTCTCCTGCACAGCCTGGTGAATGCGCTCCAGCTCCTCGATGTGCGGCTTGTAGGCATACACGCCCGCCTCGTACTCGCGCAGCCGCCGCAGCTGGTCCTCCAGCGAGCCCTGCACATGCCACAAGTAAAGATAACATGTTGTACACATATCTAAATGGACTATAATTTATGTTGTACACATATCTAAATCTACCAAACTTCATGTACACATTTATAAATATGTTAATTTTACATTCGTGTCGTACATCTATTTCACGCATTGGTCATGTATAAATATTTTACACATACATACAGTGTAAACATGTACACATTTATACATGTGTAAATGTGTAATCGTAAGCGGTGGTGTACCTGCAGCCCCATGCCGATGGCGGTGACGGCGTCCATCTGGCGCTCTATCCAGGGGCCGACGGCGTTGGCCTGCTCCGCGAACTGCCGGCGCAGCGTCTCGTTGTTCTGCTGCTTGCGGAGCTCCGCCGCCAGCGTGCCGTCGCGCTGCGGCACTAGCTGCCGCACATCCGACCACTTGCGGTTCAGCTCCTACACAAATTACATTTAAATGCCAATTGTGTAATAATAAAGAGTAGATATCCCCTGCCCATGTCTCTAGAAGGTTCTGATCTGTCCCGTTCGACTGTTGTAAATTATATCCTAAAAAAACTCTAGATCATGTGGTCACAAGAAATAGTATAAAATATATAATATTGTAGAAACGTCTTTGATAAAAAATTGTTACGGGTGTTCACGCATTGTTGATTAAGAACAGAAGTAGGTATTTGTGTACCCGGGGCCCTCAAATGGCACCTAAGATCGGCTACAGGAGGGGGGAGAGGGGGTTAGTGCGTAGATATATCACATATCTTTTATAAAAAAGACATATCTTTCGACACAAATAAAGGTACTTTGTATAGGTTAGAATATATTTGATAGATATTACAGCATTAGTACGTACGTGTGCAGTGAGGGTAGTGTAGGGGTTCTCGAGGCCGCCGGGGATCTGGTGCTGTTTCACGATCGACTCCACTTGGTGCACCAGGTTGACTATTGCCTGTATAAAAATATTACATTACTATGTAACTAGCTTTCGTCCGCAAATACGTTCACGTAAAAAAAAAACAAGTAAATAGCCTTTGGAATCCATAGGTTACTTACTTTTCCATATTATCCTTTACATTTATGCCAAAATTTTATCCAGATCCATGTAATTTAGACTTCAAACTTTAACAAACATCCATCCAGACATCTAAACTTTCGTATTTATGATTTTAGTAAGATTTATGTTGGGTTGCTAAAGTTTCAATTTATTTTATCATTACCTATTGATTCATTAGTGGTAAGTTACTAAATTTCAAAGGAGTTAACTCTAGTAATGTAGTTCAGAAACGCATTTCAAGGATTCATCGAACTAAAAACACTAACGAATGGTTAAACGTAGCTGGGAAACCGGCCATTATTGTTTTTATCTTCTTTATTTAGATATATGGTGTGTGTACCTGGTACTCCTTGTCCGCCTCCCCCAGCGTGGCCTTGAAGCGCGCGTGCGCGTCCATGAGGCCGGAGATCTCCTCGATGGTGTGCACGATGAACATGTCCACCAGGTCCTCGCGCGTGCCGTCCAGCCTGACACACCAATACATTCTCTTAAATCCGTAGTTGTAAACTACTAAGTTAAATTACTTTATGGGTGTCGCTAGTTGATTACTTAGACTACGTTTAGAGGGGGGCAGCCCCCTAACTTCCCCGATGCCCATGTCATCTCTAATAAGGGGTAGGGCTATGGTTCTGATGGGGGAGGGTCATATATCTAACAAAGAGTAGACGAGATCCTAGTAGGGGGGGGGG